CTGGTTAGAATCTGACCTGAAGAGAGAAAGAGAGAGAAAAAGAGAGTTTGGACACAGAGAAAAGATGGTTTAGACATTAACAAAGGAGGGCTCAGACACTAAAAGGAGCGGCAGCACAGGTCACCTGGTGCCAATCCATAACTCTCCCCCACACACGGCCAGGCACAGCAGCTTCTCACCTTTCAAAATCTTATTTTAGTGAGAGTAAAACCAGCAGGATTGGGTTCTAACGCTGCAGGCATTGGCCCAAGCAACCTGCAAACCCCACGTGGGCTCACCCTGAAGCTTTGGTGAAGTCACCCCAGACGTCGGTGGCAGGGGCAGAGGGAGCAGCAGCGGGCTGTGGCCAGGACAGCAGGGAGTCTGCAGCAGCCAGAGGAGCCAGAGAGAGAGGAGAAAAAGGAAAACTGTTACTGACAATGATTCCTCCCAGATTCTCTGCATTCAAGAAGATGCTATTTTGCTTTTCCACACACCCACTGCTCGAATGCAGTCAGTTCACCGTTCCAACCTGACTGGGGTTTAAGATGAACTTTGCAGTGCTGCACACAGATGGTGACAGGCCAGGCAGGAGGGCCAGGATTCATGCAGGGCCTTTCTAAACATGCTGTGCTTTCAGCTTGCAAAGTATGTGTGCAAAACTTACGCTTCCCAAACAATCATGAAACACAGAGTGGCTCTGAACAGTTAGGGGATATTAAGACAAGCAGGATGGCTTTGTGATCCCATTCCCCTCAGTGCCTCAGTTCCCCTCATCCAACAGGGCTTCAGCACCATCTCCTCCTGCAGCTCAAGAGGAACATCAAGGTCTTTCTATGTGCATCTCAACAGTTAAAACTGAATCTAAAGAGCCCTGCAGCCATTTCTGTAAGACACAGACCTGTGATGGGGGTACCAGGGAGCCGGGTAGGTGGGTGAAGTGAAGATGGTGGCTGCTCTCCAGAAGGAAGAGTTGGCATGGAAGATTTTCCTCCTGGAGGTGGTGGGAGCAAGCTCAGCCCCCCAGGGCCTGCAGAACGTGGTCTGGTGTTCCCTGCTGCTCCTTCCTTTTTCTTCATATTCTGAAAGGAGACACGAGAGGGAAACTTCAGGTGGAACCACGTTTAAATCCAGAATCAGAGCGTGATTCTACTTCTTCCTCCCAGCCAATGCTTTCAAGTAGCCCAGCAGCTCAGATGCTTTGCTCTGGAGGAAAAAGATCGCTGTGCTACATTCTCCTGGTGCAGCAACAGGTGTTGAACCACAGATGTTTTCATCTGTGAATCCCCACCACGTAGGCACAGACCAGATTCTGTGACTGGGAACCATAAGAAACCCCACTACAAATCATTGCAGACAGCAAGGGCATGAGCAGCTCTGCACCAGGCTTCCTTTAGCAAGGGGATTTCATGAGAAAGCCACTGCTTCCTCTTATGCCACGAACCACAGCAGAGGGGAAAAACAGATTGTGAGGGCTGAGCGTGAAGGCAGACAGCTTGGCTGGAGTCTGCATCTCTAAGAAGCAGTGTTTCACAGCTAACAAGAAATGAGGCTAACAAAAGAGGCTAACAGAACATTCTTGATGCTTTCATTTCCCAAAACGCTGCAAAAAAAAGAAAAGAAAAAGGAAGGGTTTTGGTGCTGTTTCTCTTTCAGTCTTTCAGGACAATCACCAAAGCCACAGGACAGCGTTTTTACAGGTTATGAAGTGTACAGGGTGAAACATCTGGAGCAGCAAAAAACCTCACCGCGATGTTAAGCTTGATGGTCTGCCCCTCCTTGAAGCCCAGGTCCAGTTTGGGTGCCTGGTCAGGGTTTTCAGCCTGCTTGGCCAGCTCGTTCTGTTGCCTCACCCACCTGCAGGAAGGCAGGAAAAAGGAAAAAGACTCGTAAGCTGCAGCCCTCTTTGCACTACGCTTCAATTCAAGTGAACTGGGCACAGTGAACCAGGAGCAAACAGCTCCTCACCCCCAGCACTTGGAGCGAAAACCTGCAGCTGCCACGTGGAACCACCAAGTCAAGAGGACAAAAGGAGAGGCACCAACTCACTTGAAATGGTCCTGGAGAGCGACGTTGAAGTCAAAAGCATCCCCTCGATCCACAAATCCAACCCCAATGAAAGCACGGCGGCCTGGGGAATGAGGAAGAGTAAAGGCTAGAAGTGCAAAACAGGGTAAAAGCCAGGGATGCAGCCCAGAAGTGGGGGGACAGCCAATTTCACACCCCTGCGACTGTCAGCTCCTCCAGTTGGAGCTGAGAGGAATTCTGATGACAGCAGGGCTGAGGTTAGGATTGGAGCTGCATTTCTTTCTTCCTTCTACAAAGAAAGGAACAGCCAGCAAGTTCCAAGCAGGGAAAGCAGTGTTACACTGTCAGCAGGGCTGTAACGTGAGGCTGGAAGAAAACTGCAGCCACGCTTTCAGTTAGCAAAGCTGTGTTTACATCATCACTTCAGCTTGAATGGATTTAAAGAACTAGCAAAACCCAGCTTTAAAATTCTTACAAGTGAATCAACATGGAGGCTGGCATCACAGTGACAGTCCTACACAGCTGTGTCCTTCATGCTGAGCAGTAGATTAAACTAGTAGATTAAAAGATTTTTTTTTTTACTAGCAAAAGGCAGAGCATGAAGAGGTGATCTGTCCATTCATCACTGCAGGCAGGGACTATTTAGCTCTCAACCACACGAATCATTCACCAGTAAGAACTCAGAACAAGCTCTGAGTGTTTTCAAGATCTGCTCCCCCCCAGGCCTGTCTCTGCCAGCACCAAAGCAGCACCACACCGTTGCCATCCTCGATCCGGATGACGAAGTATCTGCTGGAGTCTGTCACACTCTCCACAGCAATGCCAGGGAACTGCTCCACGGGGGCCTGGGCAAAAAGCTCTCCTGAAAAAAGAGAAGCAGGTGTGAGTTAACGTGCCAGTGCAGCACATCAATGCCGCTCTCCTTGCTGTGAGGATGAACATAAAGGCAGCAGCCTGCATGCAAGAAATGGGTAAACACGACCCGCTTCCTCTGCAGCAGCAGCTTGGGAGGCAATTAAGAATCCAGGAGATGGAAAAACTGGCAAAGCGACTTGTTGTGATGACAGGAAGCTTGGAGGAAGAGAGATCAGATCCTGCTTGCCTTATTTTGGCAGATCCACATCATTTCATTCCACCACATAAAGCCTCCCCAGCCGTAGGCACGCACACTTTTCCTGGCTCAGTTACCAATGCTCAACAAAGGAGCCTCCCACTATCTGGTGCTACATGGCACCACACTCTGGAGGTGACAAACCAGCTCAGTAACGCTCAGCAGATGGATTCAAACAACAACACACAGCTGCTTTGCAGTGACACCATGCTCAGGTCTGCCCCGCCAGCAGCCCAATGCCCCCCTGGGGTGACAGGAAAGCCGTTCTGCTGCAGCCCCTCCTCCTTACCTGAGGTTTTGTCCTCCAGCTTGATGAAGGCAGTCTTGCCTTTGGCGGTGATGCGCAGCCTGCCGCTCCATGCTGGCTGGTCAAGCTGCCACTCTGCAGCTCTGCAGGGAGAGGAAAAGGTGACTGACCTCTGGGTGCCCCTGCGGTCCTCAGGCAGCAGCAATGAGACAATTTTATGGCATGGTAACATATCACAAAGCCTCACAAAGTGAGATAGCATGTGAGGGAACCTGCTTGCACCTGGGCTTGCTGCAGACAGGCAGCACGCATCACGAGACCTTGCATCTCACCCCAAGTCTGCTGACCACTTGCAGAAGCACTGGGGAACAGACCCATAGTTCTGCACTGCACAGTACAGAAAGGTTTCACTTCCCCTTCTGCGGAATCACCAGCTTGAAAACAGCGTTAGGGCAACGCAAGCCACACTGGTGAGGGGATCCTTGTGGAATATCTCCGTTTTCATAGAATTATAGAGTGGTTTGGGTTGGAAATCTCCCATCATGGGGACACCATCCAGCAGCTCATACTGCCCAAGACCCTTCCGGCCTGGCCAGGAATACATCCAAAAAGGGGCATCCACAGCTCTCAGGGCAGCTTATGCCAGGGCATCATCACTTCAGGGTGAAGAATTTCTCCCTACTTCATTTCCCCTCGTCCTGCCACTACCAAACCCTGTCCAAGAGCCCTTCCCGACTTCCCTCTCAGCCCTGCAGGCACCGAAAGGCCGTTATAAGCCCTCCCGCAGCCTTCCCGGCCGCTTGGACTCGATGACCTCGGAGGCCTTTTCCAACCTCGGCGATTCTATCGTTCTTCTCCAGGCACAACAACCCTCAACCTCTCCTCGCAGCGGGGCTGAGCGGGCCTGCAGCCCAACGGCGGGGCCTGGCTGCCTGCGAGAGCCCCAAGGCCGCACCAGGCCCACCCCCCGGCGCCGCACCGCACCTGTAGCCGCGGTTGGAGGCCCTCGGCGGCACTCGGTAGACGTGCACGGCCGGCTTCACGCACAGCACCGCCTCGTAGTCCTCCTCCATGGCCGCCAGCACGACGGAAGGGCGCCGGCGACTCTATGGTACCGCCCGCCTCGGGGCGGGGAGAGGAGGAAGGGAAGCACTTCCGGTGCGGGCTGAGCATCACGCTACGCAACTGCGCCCCCTGCCGGGCGGGAGGCGCATCGCAGGCAGTGGTCGGTATCAAGGCACGGGACGCGCTCTGTAGGCACGTTTTTCCCTAAATCACCTTAAAATAAAAACACTGAGAAAGGACTCCATCCTGCTCCTCCTCGGCTCAGCCAGCCCCACAGCCTCTCCTCACGCTACTGAGCAAAGAATGGAGAGCAGCCCAGCCCCAAAATTCTCCTGTTCCCATCCCTGTGCTTGGAAGTTCAGCTTCTCCTTCCCAAGAGCCCTTGTAGCCCAAAGAGGACAGATGTCCCTCATCTCATCCATAGCACCTCAGAACCAGGCCGGCTGTCCCACAAGGTGACACAAACACTACCATGGCCAACAACAGCCAATGGATTTTTGGGGTTCCCATTCCGGGGAACGGGAGAAAAAAAGGGATGTGGCAAAGCGATGAGACGGAAGCAGGCCGTGAAAAAGTTTAAACACATTTATTGAAAATACAATTTATAAAATGTTTCTCTGCATACTCGGGCGCGCTCTGACGGGGAGGCAGGAGAAGCTCTCGGCCCCACGAAAGAAGGCGCGTGCCCCGCGACCGCCGTCTCGCCCTGCCTGCAGGTCGGGAGCAGCCGCCACGGCTGAGGCATCGGCGCACGGTCAGTGCTGGAGAACAAGGTCGGGTGTGCAAGGAGAAGGGTGGTAGGCACCTGACGGACGGGAGGAGACATCTAACATTGGCAAGGTAGCGGGAAGCTACGCCAGGAGCTGGGGTCGGGGTTGTTGTGCCAGCTGCCAGCCTTCTGGAATAGAAGCTATCGAGCGGTCGTTAAGGAAAGGTGCAGTGACTACAGTTATTGCTAATGTCCTTCTCCCCTCCTGCTCCCACCCACCCCAAATAAATCAGTTTCACAGACGCGCCTCCAGCCTGAGAGGGAGCTCAGTAAGCAGCAAGATTATAGCTTCTAAAGCCACGGAGATGGGTTGGGATCCTGGTGGGACGAGGCTTCTGCCATTCCCACCTCGTCACCCTCCTTCGCCACTCACTCAGGGTTCCGGGAACTCACGTGGAGGGTGACACAGGGTCAAGGAGCCAACTGACATTCTAGCAGATGCCATCTCTTTTTTGTACACAGGTAGTTTTATTTTACCTTTTTTTAAGCCGTGTTTCCATCCACATCTTTCCAGATGGGAGTTTCCCATACAACATGGCATGGCACAGTCACTTCTGTTCAGTCAGAAGGCATCAGGTTTGCTCATTTACCATATCTGCCAAGCACAAAGCATCTGGCAACACTGCACCCGTACAGAATAATCCTCTGACAGCCAACAACAGTATTTTCTAGGTACTGAGCACGCAGCAATCCGCCGGCCCGCGGCCATTTCAGCTGAATGAACAGTCGAGGTCCTCACGACACGCAGAAACGCCTCCACACCTGACGCTGCCCGTTGCATCCCCTCCAAGAAGAGCCTTAGTGTTCATCTAATCCCTGGAGACAGGAATATCAAGACAGGCCAGCTTTGTCTAGCGTGCATTAGGACAGACAGCACTGCGCACGGGGGAAGCATCCACGTTCAACAGCATCCTGTGACACACACCAGCTCCTCATGGCTCTTCTCCACCACCACCGCCGCCATCCTGGGAAGCTTTCAGCCTACAAGCTGCCTGAAATCCTGCCTCTTCGTGGGAGCAGGAGCAGCAAGAGCAATCCATTCCCTGAAGCCCAGCGGAAAGCTGGCTGTTACCACCCACAGCGTACGACGATGGGGAGGTTTCCAGACTTGATTGAACACATTTTGTTCCTAAATGTCTGTGATTTCTAGAAGCGTGTGTATCAGGTACAGCACCGGCTCGTACCGTAACAGAGATCAGAGTCTTCAGTCCATTGTAAGCCACTTCGGTTTCAACCTTCGGAGCAGCGGCCGTCCCGCTCCCCGCCGTCACATCAGCCACCACGCAGGCTGGATGGAACGCAGCTCTTCACCATGGGTTCATTTCATGGAGCAAATGAGAGCCACGCAGCACTATTACCCTCCTAGCCTGCACATCCAGCTGTCACAGAGCCCCAGCTCCCCGCAGATCAGCTCTGCTGCAAGCAGTAACCAAACAGCAGGCATTTTCATGGGATCTGTCTACATTCCCTTCTCCCCACATACAAAAAGATGTATTTAAAGTTTTTTTTTTTCCCCTCAAGCCAGCAGAAAACACTAGCCAAGCTTTAACAGGTGCAATACACAAACCAGGTCATTGGACTCCTCTGGCTCCCAGGCCATGGCAAGCAGAAAGGCTGGGCATCCCAGAGTCCAGTTTGCTTGGCAGTGGTAGAAACACAGAACGAGAAGCTAAGCTTGTCAAACCCTAACCACTAAAGTTGCAGGAATTCAGTGAAGTTCCTTTTCAAACACTTAGCTACCTCTCTCAGTTAAAACAAACTAAACAGTTAAAACCCTTTCCATGCACTCCCTTGAAAGTCAATCCGATATACAAACAGAAAACAAAAGGAAAAAAAAAAAATCAAAAGATATCCTTTGAAACAGAACTTGCTCTTAAAGTGATGAAGACAAAACGTGTGTCTGGGGAGGCTTCCCATTTTTTTCCTAAATCCCAGGTTACAAGTACAACAAACATTATTGCTGGCACTAGCTTGAACCAAAGTGGCACACATGACTCTTTGCACCTGTCCGAGTCCTTTACCCTCCCCTCCCCTTCCTGCTTACAGTGACTGGGGACAGCCCTCGTCAGTTTGCTGATCACAGTGCGTGGAGCAGGGAGGTCACAGTGCGTGGGGTTGGAGGTCACAGTGGGCAGAGCAAAGGGGATCACAGTGCAAGTAAACCAGGTAGTTCCCTTTGCTCAAGTCCATTTGTCCGCCACAGCAGTGCGACCCGTGGCGGCTGACCCTGCTTTCTGCAGCATCCTCTCATGCCCACGTTTATCTGCGTTGTTTGAAGCCTTGTGAACCATCGGGGCCCAGGGGCTGCCTAATCACATTATTGGGCTGCCTGATGTCCTCTGGCTGGGAGATCCTCGTTGGCCTGCAAGGAGAAAGCAGAGGACGAAGCAATGTATCTGTGGAATGTAAGGCGTGCAATTCAGATACTCCTCTACTTGCTTTGGTGGAAAGCTGCAGGATGACTGTTGCAGACCTGCTGCATTTCTCCCTGGGATAAGGGAACACGATCAAAAATAAACTGATGCTTCATTTCTTCCCTGAAGTTTTCAAAGTCTTGTTCCCAAGTGGCCAAGATCCACACTACAACTACAAAGGAAAGGCCTTAAACAACCTGGACTCATTTCAGAGTGCTTACTTTCAACTTTCCCATTGATGACAGCAGCTCCATCAAGCCTTCCTTGTCTTTGCTGAGGTTTTATGTCGTGTCAAAGTTGCTTGCACTCCTCTCTATATCCCCACCTTGCTCTCTCAAGGATTTAAGATAACCTTTATTGCCTTATTGGGCACAAGCACTTCCTCTAGCTGCCAAAAATCTGAACGGTAAGTTGCTGTTTACAAACAAAACGCTCCTTTCTCCTTGGCTGGCCTCGTTTAATACTCCAAGGAGCACATCTCCTCTTTCCCCTGCTTGGAAGGTATTTGCACAGAGCACGCACACAGCCGTCACTTTCCCGCCCCCGGTGCCAAGTCTGCTCTCACCTATCTAGAATGGGTTTCTCCTGCTCCTCTTCAGGGCTGGCGCTGCCCAGTATTCGTTTCCTGGCCTCGGCGTACTCTGCCTCCCTCTGTGCCAGGGACTTGACAGGGAACGCCGGTCTGGTGGTGGAGTTGGGGTTGCTGAGCACACCGTTGGTGGCTGGCCGCTTCAGGATCCGGATCTGGGGGGGGGGACCTGAAGGAACGCTGTCGTCCTGAATCACGATCGGCACTTTAGGAGGAGATTTGGATTTTCTACTGCTTGAAGGAAAAAAAAAAGCAACAAACAAACGCACGGCATTCGATCAGCGCTTGTTTTCACCGCAAGCACGCTTTGCTGTTCATTCTGTATGCGGCTTCCTCCCAGCCAAATGTCATTCCTGTGACTAAGAGGCAGCTGTAACAATTAGAGACCTTGTTGTATTTGTAACCCTAAAGTAGAGGCAGGCAGGTTTGCAGATTAGCTCAGCAAGGGACAGAAAACACCAACCTCTGATGCGTTCAACGTCTTGAAACTCAACCAAAGGAGACTCTGAGCAGAGATAACTTGACTTTTGATTTGATTCACCAAAGATTTTCCAAAAGAAAGCGTTTACACATCTTCAAAGGCATTGATGTAAGCACTTTAATTCCACTCCTTGCCAGGCCTTGGAGCCAACCTTGGCCCCAGCCTGTTTCAATTCTCACTGACCCTTTTCTGCGTGGGTATGGGAATCCTTGAGAAACAATACTGTGACTCTAAGCGGTGTGCCAGCAATCACAAGGAAACAAACAAAAATATGCCTCAGAAGTGATTAGAAGTACCATGCTAGGAGGCAAGACACCCCCACTCCAACCCAAACAAACAGGAAAATTAAGCCTTACTGATGCAAGACATGGTGAGCCAATTTAGGCTACAAGCTGCGATTACCTGACTCACTCATTTCTTCCTCGGAGTGCCTTTTTCTTACAGGGCTTCACTATAACTGGAGCTACAGCCAGTCTGGGAGACCCAGCTCCGAAATAAAATCACTCCTAAGAACCTTTCCATTACTCTGCTACAGACCAGAGGGGCCCCCTGGTGGCACCACTACAGATTCCACTTCCACACTGACAGCAGTTACCTTTCCTTCTGCGTGATCTTCAGCTTCTTTTCCAATCGTCTGTCTATTTCCTACAGAGGAAGGAAGAAAAAACAAAAACGTGAAGGCTCATCTTTGAGATCAGAGTACGAATCTGCCTGCAAACACCTTTGTTTCCAGCAATGCCTCACTGTGAAAGGCAGAGCCAGAACGCCTCTCAACCTGAGGATGGCTTGCAGAGGAAAGCAAAGCCCCTTCATTCACTGCACCCATGAGTACACCTACAGCAGGCTGAAGTTGCAGAGCAGGGTGGAAGGGCAGCTGCGTGGTGTTCATCTCCCCTGGAGAGCAATTTTCATTTTCAGAACTTCAGCTGTAAGAAAGCTCTCTTATGGGCAGAAAAAGAGCTCCAGAGACATTCAGCAAGGTGCTCCCAGGTGGAGCAGACACTGGCACCAGACCTCCCTGCCAAAGAACCCCTGGAAGCAGCAGCTGGGCCGACACACAGCAGCACAGACATGGAGCCTGCAGCCATCCTGAGGACTAGCCAGCAGGTCTGCATTCCTGCTGCTTGCTGCGAGAACCCGCCTTCACCAAAATATCCTTGCCCTGCCCAACCTGCACCCAGAGACTCACCGAGCTGCAGTAGCCAACCATGCTTTTTCCTCCTATGCCTCTCCTCTGCTTTTGCAACAGAGCTGCCAAGTCAATCAATACATGGAAAGAAATCTTCATTACCCTGAGAGCCGACAGTGTGGCTGTAAGGTTGCTGACCTCTGTCGAAAGCTTGCACCTGTCTTACAAAAGGTGTTTACGTTTTGCACTTGGGGCAATTACACAAAGAAACTCTGCTAAACAGAAAAATAAAGCTCTCAGCCCCTCCAGCCTCTAAGTAACCTATCCCAACAAGATGCACCTCACCATGGCCTTTAGATCCCCATGACTGCAGACTGCATAAAAGAGCTTCCAAAACAGCAATGCGTTTTATTTAACTGTCAGTAAAGAGGGAAAAAAGTAGCTGGGAGTGTCCCAGTTTTACCATCTGATAACTGGTAACGCTGCAGGAAAGGTCATGCTCCTGGCAGGATGCAGCCACTCTGCTTTTCAGGTCAGTTTAACTACACCACAAGCCTGCTGCCAGCAGAGCCTGCCCTGCTGTCAAGAAGCATGCACAGCCTGGTGATGAGCTGCACTGCCCCACATCCCCACTCCTACACTTCTTTGCAGTTACTCCCCAGTGAACAAGGAACGAATGCAAGCCATGACACACCACCAAAGCGTGGTGCTACTCATGGTCATGCAGCCCTCAGCACCCTCCAGCTGGAAATACACAGTTCTGAGTTGTTTCTCAAAGATTTTGTTGGGTGAGACGTTGAATTTTCTTCCCAGCTCTATATGAGGAAGCCACATTCGTTTCCTAGGAATAAAACACAGCATTGAGCCGAAGGCCAAATCTCAACGAATCCCCCTGCTGAGGGCAAACACACCTGCAGCTTCCTTCCCTTTCAAGAAGGCTCAAATTTCAGAAGAAAATCCCACCCCAAGGTTGCTCAGGAGGATGGAGCCTCCTGCCCACGTGGATGGAGGAACGGCCAGCCAGGAAGGCAGCAGGGAAGCGGATATCCTGGCCAAGGATGGAAGTGATTTAGAGCAGCTAGCAACAAACAATGACAGCCAAACCAAGGCCAGGGGGTTAGCTCATCTGTCTACCCTCCACCAGAAGAGGTTACATCCTACTATAGAACATTTTATCAAACCTGAACACACGGCTGTACCCCTCCAGGGCTGTCTGGAATGAAGCTTCTTTAGATACCCCTTCATAAATACCTCCCATGTTGGGGAGGGCTGTAGGGTGCAAACCCCCAAGCATCTCCACTCATTCATACCATGAGGAGGATTTTTCCAGTGCCATGCAGCAGGTACAGAGATCAGAACCAGCACGTCAACCCTCAGCCCAATGCTGGTTGTACAGCACTCTGCCCAAGGTACAGAGAGCCATAAGGAAGATCCGGTTCTGTTCTCCTCTCTTCCCTTCCCAGCTATGCTGCTGCATTCCTGTAGGCTCTGTGAGTCAGTCCTGGGGTTAATGCCACGTTCTTTACCTCGGATGGCCAGATCCTGTCATTGCAAAGTGTCATTTCAACCCCATCACCTGAAAAACACTCTGATTAATGTGGCTGTCACAGTGATTGAGTGCTGCTGGGCAGCTCTTCAACCTCTCATGCACCAGGGACGTCCTGCCTACATTCTCTGCTGCCAGAATCTACAGCTTCCTCATCTAGAAAGAAACACAGCTTTCATTTACCTAGCATAGGCAAGGGTATCCCAAGGAATCCTTCAAAACCTACCATCAGAACACCCTAAATGAGTCCTTCACCCAGATTTTCCCTCTCCTACAACTACCAAGTACTTGGCACTTCTGCTGCCTCGCTCCTCTGGCAGCCATAATATGAGGAGATGGATGCTGTCTTTTCCTAAGCAAAAGCCCCATCACTGCAAACTCCTGATGCTTAACAGAACTATATTTCAGTAGGCACGGTGGTGATGGGCTGACAAGTTGGACTTCATCTTAAAGGTCTTTTCCAACCATAATGAGTCTATGATATTATAGGTATGAAGGAGTTCAAATTTACAGAGCATTATCCACTCAGATGGGCAGCCCTTGATCACCAAAGCAACCCAAGGCATTAGGAAGAGACACAGTTGGCAGCTCACAACAGGGGTCACGCTGCACACAGCCACAAGCTCAGGAAGCAAAACCAGCAGATCTGTTTGCTTGCTGATGTCATTCTGTTTGCACTGCTCTATCTCATGTTGCATTGCCATCGAGCTGTGGATAACAAGATAAAATTAGGACCTGACTTACGGCCCAAGTGCCAGAAGCACTACAACAAGCAAAAGGCATGCATGCAGAGGAGGGGGGAGCCCACATGGCACTCAAGGACACCAAGCTGCACAGAAGCTGGGCAGGTCACGCTGTACAAAGCCAGTTATTAATCTTCTGATGGTGAGAATGCATTAAGGAGTTTCTCCTAGCTTTCATTCCCCAAACAAGCATATTTATAACCAAAAGTTAAGCATCATTCGTGCCCCTGTGCTTTTATAAACACCCTTCTCAAAGATTAGCAGGGAATCTCAACAAACTATTTTTAGTGCTATTATGTCTAGATGCTAAAAGGGACCCAGCAGCCAGCAGGGAGAAGACACTGTTCTCTGACATTTAAACTGCATTTGTAGATGAGGACGTAATGGAAGCTGAGCTCCAGTCCCATCACAACCAACTTTCCAGCCCAGGAAAAAAACAACAAACAGCAAAGCATGTGAGGATCACTGTGCCTCCTGGAAAGCAATTAGGTGAGGACTGCAAACAAACCTATTTAGACTCAGTGCTCCTGAGGCAGACTCATAGAATCACAGTTTGAAGTGAGGCACAAGCAGAGAACCCCAGGTTAACCCTGACTGCTGCCTCAAGCACTTGGTTGGAATAACGATGGCATGTCAGATATTTGTAAATAATTACCCCTCTGCAAAAGATCTCCAGACCTTTGAAAGGCAGCAACTCCAAGCTGGGAGGAAAGGAATAACAAAGCAACTGCTGGCATTTATTTCTTCCAGGTTTGCTGAGTAACTTTAACAATGCCTCAGCACAGGCAAAGACTTCAGCTCCCTAAAAATCCCTTACAGCAGCAGGATTTCTCCCCTCTGCCTCCAAAATGCAGTTACTTGACAGAGGAGATACTCACCAAGAGGGCCACACTGGAGCTCAGAGCTGCCACTGATAAAGGAAGCTGCGCTCTCTTCAAAAGCTGCTAACATTTCACATGCACAGCTCTGGAAAAACATTAACCGTGCTCTTTGATGTATTTGCTGGGGACACTTCTGAATACAACCTGCTACCTTGCCAAAAAACAAGAGCGTGAGATCAAACCAAGAAAGAGGGAATGAGCCTGGAGCTGCATCCTGCCACGTCAGCGCAGTGGGAGCCTCATCCACCGAGCACAGGCACCACAAGACACCCTGAAAACACCATCCAGTGAGAGCAGCAACAGATGATCTCCAGGTAGCAAACTGACTCCTCGCTAGCGACTCATTTCTTTCCTCTGAAGATACGTAAATCTTCTGTTAATTACTAGAACTTCCCAATTCCTGAGGCTAGTGGGAGTCAGACTGCTTCATTAATTAATTTGCCAAGTTGCTCTGCTTGCAGTAACCCTGGCAGTGCACCGTACCCAACGTGATGCCAAGAAAGCCACAGCTGCTTTCAGCTGCATGGCACCTGTATCTTCCATAGGTAGGTAAAGCTCCTCAGCAGCTACAAAACACAGGAAGGGCCAGGCTCCCTTCCTCAGCCAGGCAAACATAGGGGGAAGCACTGAAGAAGGCTGCAGTTTCTCCTCCCTCCCCTCCTTCGTGGTTCAGGGGCACAGGCAGATGCTCACCAAGGTCGTGCTGCTGAAACTGGCAACAAACAGAGACTGCTACCAGGTGATGCTGCCTCACAGCAACATCCCATTGCAGATGCTGGCTTTATGACATGCACAGCTTGTTTGTTCCTAGCCAACGAAGCTCTTTTCTTATCAGTCTCTGCTTGGGCAACGCTGAGCAGCAGGAACAGAAAGCCTTGTTTCCTAGTTTCAAGAGTTTTAACCAATTACAAATACCTAAGGCAAATATTCAGTAAATATTCACAGAACTCACAGTGAGCCTGTCCCCCCTCTCGCTGCTTCCTGACAGCAGAAAACACCAGTTATCCTCAGGGCTTTTCTCCAAAGCACAGCCCTACCCTGAAAGGTACCTTCCTGCTGACTTGTCCTCCAATCACACAAGCAGTTAGCAGGCTACACGGCCTGGAGGTCACAGCATTATGCTCCAAAATACTTCCCTTTTGACTTCTGTGTACTTTGATCGCATTTAGCAACAGAAGAAACGCCAGCCAAAACCCAGATGTAGGCCTTTGCAACCAATGATTCACCTGCCTCTGCTGAAGGGTGAAATCCAAAGCAGGAAGCCCGGCCTGCTCCCACTACCATTTGCACAGAGAAGGCAGAAAGGAGCTCAGCAAGCATCAAACCCTCCTGGCACACAGCAATACCAGCAGATGATCCCCCTACCCACACACACCTCCAGCTCAATGTGACCCCTGGGTACAGGGTTTTCACTCCAATTTGAAGTATGGCTTCCCATCTGATGTGTAACAATTGGTTTAACCAGGTCAATAGGCTCAAAAACACACCACCCTTTTGTGATTTCCTTCTTCCTGGGAAGGCCACACAACAGAGAAATGAGCAATGCATGAAGTCCTATTCATGTTTACCAACCCAGACTGTCTCCTTGATGCCTCACACTTGGATCCTGCCACCAGCCTCTTAGACAACCCCAGACAGCTCACTCACACACCAGTTCCCCCTTTGTAACTCACTGACAGCAAAACCTCCCCGTTTCAGACTTTTCAAATACCTGTACACAGGCAGTTGTGCAACACAGAGCCTTGTTAGCCAGACCTGCTGGCCCCACAAAATTCTGCTGCATCAGCTTGGTGCACAGAACTCAGATGTAACATCCCCCACGCCTGCAAAACTCTCAGGGTAGGTGGAACTACTGGAGCAGAGGTTTCTGCTTCATGTATGGGCACACAGGGTGGCACACAGCAAACGAGCTGCTCCTTGAGCTGGCAAGCACTGGGTCATTCTGATGACACAGAAAACTAGAAGACAAACAGAAGCTGCATTAAGAAAAATAAATAAAATCAACTCTCTTTCTTATAGCTGCTTTGACTGACCAAGTCCAAAAGAGAAGCTGCATCAGGTATTTTGGCTTTTCCCCTTTCAAAGGGCACCAGCATCCCTTCGGTGAATTAAGGTCTCAGTGCTGTCTGTAAAGCCAAATCCACAAAAGCTACATGTGCTGCCATACTGACTAGGAAAGCCACAGCAACTCTGCTCAGCCCAAAACTGCTTCTTGCTGAGAAGCACCTTCTTCAAGACCTAGAATCTTACTGATTTAGGAGCCCAGCACCAAGAGCCACACATACAGAGGGAAAAAATGAGCACTAAATATCTCAGCATCCTTTCTGCTCCATAGAACACCCTCAGGTGACTTAGCAGAAAACTACACACCCAGAACCACAGATCTCCCTTGGCTACATTTCTCCTATTTCCTCGAATATGTGCTGAAAGGTCTGAAGAATAACTGGTCAGGTTCACAACTGCTTACAAAGTTCAGAATATAGTTAAAGCTGCTCCTTGGCATGCTAGGTTTTATCTTTAACGTTTTACTGCATATCCCTCTGGACCATGGCTATCATATCTCTAAGTTAGGCTCTGTTCCAGACCCATGCCAGGTAAGGTATAGGTGAAAGAAACCACAGCAAATGCCTCACGACAAAAACAACATAATGATTACGGTGGCAAACCAACTTCTAAGCTCCCCCTGCACACAGTTTTTTTCACTCACACTTCCAATAGAAAATCCACCCCACTAAAGCAGCAGATATCAAGCCTGCTCACCGCAGCAAATTTGTCACAAGAAAAGCAGGTGTGCCTCAAATATATTTCAACTGCTAACAACTGACGTCAGTCACGCTGTCTGCTCCCCTTCCTGCACTGTTCCCCTTTTCAGAATCTGCCCCTGGCAGCAATAATTGCTGTAGTGACTCAGAGAGCCCCCAGCAGCACCCACTTGCTTCAAGCAGAAAGCCAGAAGAGAGCAAGTCCATGTCCCCACAGGTCCATCCCAGCTTTGACTTCCTGCAGCCATCAGCAGTGGCAGAGATCCTCCTTCCTGCAGGCTGCAGCATGACCTTTCTAAAATATCTTGGCTGCTAGAAGACAGCTTCCATGTCTTCTCTTGCACAATAATAACTCCTGCTGGAGACAGCTCAGTTTTCTCCTTGCTCCGAGTGCTTTTACAGGCACCCAAAGCCTGGACAACTGCAAAAGCAGCTGCAAGCGTGGTGTCAGCTCCTAGAGAAATGTCTGCTCCCCACTGTGTGGCACAAGTGTAATGTCTCTGCAGCCTGGACTTGCTGGAAAGGGGCGTCAGAAAGGACAGGCGATGAGATTTCCCTTCTAAGGGTTTTGAAAGAGCACCAAAAGGTAAAAGCTGTGAAGACAAACAAGACAGACAACTGGTGCCTGGGATTTGAGCAGCCCTGCAATTTTAAACCATTACTCTAGGCCTCAGCTATTATCAGCTCCCAGCCACAAGCGATGTCTCTTCATGAAGCAATTTAATGAGCCCTTAAATTAACTCCTCCATCCTATGCGAGGTTTCCCATTATCACAGGATCACGGTGCTAGTAGCAGCGCCAGCCCTGCCTGGCACCTCGCAGAGACGAGGGCATTGGATTACAGCTTCTATTTTGCCCCCACCCCGCTCCCCACCTGTAACCCAATTCCTGCAGCAGCCGCTGACCAAACCCAAGCTGCCCTCTTGCTGCAGAGCCAATTGTTACAGCGTTCTTCTGCCCTCTGAGCGTCAACGAGCCCACAGAACTCCCTACAAACAGCAGCTCTCAATCAACAGATGCGATCCTCTTTCTCAGGCTACGGAGTAACGAACCCCCCACACACCACTTGTCCGTGCTATTAAGTTTACTGATTTTGTTACACGAGGGAAGCGTGCAGAACCCATCTGCAGCCTCTCAGCACGACACGACCCAACCACAAGCCATGAGGCGGCCTAACGGAGGCAGAGGGCTGCCCAGGAAGAGCCCCAAGCTCCTCACCGCGATCAGGGCCGTACCAACAGCTCCAGGAGAGCTGAGGCAGCACGCCGGGCTAGGCCCGAGGCGAAGCAGGGCCCAGATGCTGCGGTGCGAACCGTGCACGGCTCCACAGCCCTGCCGCAGCCCCGCACCGTACAGGCCGCGGCCCCTTTAAGAGGCCTACCGGCCTCTCCCGGCCAGCCGCCACCTCAGGAGCCGCCGTGCCATCCCCCACTCCTCCCTCTACGCCCCCTCTTCCGCCTCGGCCGACCGGGAGCCGTCCTCACCCCGCTGTCGGCCGCCTCCTCCCAGCTCTCGGCCACCTCCTCATCTTCCATTTTAATTCTCCTCCGCCGCCGCCGCCGCCAGCCCAGGACCAGCGCATGCGCGCCCCGCCCCCTTCCTCCGTGCGCCTGCGCGTATACAGCCTCTACCAATCACGGCGCGCCTGCTGCGCCTGCGCGCTGAGAGGGAGCGGGCGACCTCGGGGACGGTGAGGCGGTGCGCATGCGTGGTGGCCAGCTGCGGGAAGCCACGTGCGGCAGGGAGGGCATGCGGCGGGGAGGGCAGCGCGCTGGCCCCTCCTAGCGGCGGGAGGACCGGCGGTAGGGAGAAGGACATGTATAACACACGCGTCGCCCTCTGGGCGGAGCATGAACCCAAGTTTTAGCAGGGTTTACCTCTCACTACAACGCCTGCACTCAGTCCAGCAGAGGGGTTGTGGCTGCTCCCATCACAGCACTTTCAAAGCCTGGCAAAGCCCCTGGCCGGAGGATAACTTTGACTGGGGTTTGTTTGGGTGCTGAAGAAACTCACTGAAGGGCCTCTGTGTCATTCTGTCATCCTTATTAATCTCACTTTACGTCTCAACCCTCTCAGTGCTTGCATCATCCTGAGCAGCAGGAGGGATAGCTTCAACACAAAGCCTTCAGTTCTCGCTAAAGACTCACTAGAATCATCAAATCATTAAGACCTCTAATATAACCAAGTCCAACCATCAAGTCATCCCTACCATGCCCACCAAATCACATCCTTCAGTGCCACATCTTGGCATTCCTTGAACACCTCTAAGGAAGGCGACTCAACACCTTCCTGGGCAGCCTGTTCCAATGCATCACTACTCTTTCTGAGAATAAATTTTTCCTAATATCCATCTTGAATTGATGAGGCTTCCTTCAAAGCTGAGGTGTTTGTCCCACCCTTCACATGCTCACACACCACTCCCGGCTTTGAAAGACACAAACGTACAGGGATCAGCTCTGCAGAGCATAGATCCACACACTACAGACTTCAGTGCCTCTTCCAGCACTCTAAAATAGCAAGGCTCAGTGTATTAGAGCAGCTTTCCTTTCTACCTTAATCCTGTAAACTTCCTCAACGCACCAGATAGGCACCCCATCTATGAGCTGTGGCTTGCTAGCAGATACCAGGTATCTTCCTACAAACTTCAAGAAGAGAAATACACAGACTGTGGTGAGCCCTGGCTCCTGCCCCATAGCAGCCTTCCTTTCCTCTGGCATCTTGAAGGCAGAGAAGGGCACACTTGGAATCCTCTTGGTAGTTTTGCTGAGGGATGCTATCCGAAGAAGCAAGAGTAGCACATATGGCCCCACGGCAGCTCTCACTGATGTCCTCATCCTCAAATCTCTGCTCTTTTGGCTGAAACCTGAAAGCCTGGGTGGGGACAACCCTGGGGGTCAGACAGGAGATGTGGATCTGCATAAGGATGGGAGGAAAGGTTGCATCGTCAGGCTGTTCTTACCCATCCTCTGGCTTTTTCCAAAGGGAAACTGAAGCTGTGTTCTCCAGCAGCTGGTGCTCTGCCAGGCCTTGCACAGAGCCACAGCCCAAGAAACAGCCTTCCACTTTTTCCTCACAACTGCCCTCCTCTCCCAACATGGCGGCCTCACCCTGCCTCCCCTCCCAACATGGCGGCGAGACGGCTCACGCCCTCCCTTGAAACACATTCAACATGGCAACCTGCTCCCACCACAGAAACCTCACTGCCGTGCAGTTTGACCTTCCCAAGATGGCACCAAGCCCCCACGTGATTATTTGCTCCTCCTTATTCCGTGATCACGTGAGACAGGGCCGGGTGGCGCATGCGCAGTATCCTCTCCGCCGCGGCCAGAGCGGCGGCTGCCGCGGCGCTGAGGGAAGATGGCGGCGCCGGTGCGAGCCGTCACCGGGGCGACGCGGCGGCTCTGGCACCGGCTGCCGTGAGGGCTCGGCTCGGCCCGGCCTAGGCCCGGCCCAGCAGGTGAGCAGCGACGGCAGGGCGGGAGCGGCTCCTCCTCGGGGAGCGGCCCCTTGAGGCGGGCCGGGCCCTGCGGGGGGCGGTGGTCGAGCGTGAGGACCCCGTGTGGGGCCGACCTCTCCATGAGGGTCCTGTGTGGGCCGAGCCCAGCCCGGTCGGCGTCCCTTTATTTAGGGAGGGGTAATTAGGGCAGAGCCTCCATTTCTTGGGGTGTCGTCGCTGTGTTGAGGTCTCCATCCTCAGCCCCTCGTTGATTGCTGGGCTCCTTTGGGGATCCGCAGCCCGGCTTCTCCCCTCCCCAAAATGACGGTCGGGTGATGCTGAGCTGTGCTGTGTTGTCCCTTGTCCCCCGAGGGGCACTGAGCTTTATCGGTGCCAACACAAAGGTGAGCCTCAGCCGGGCTCCCAGAGCAGTAAATAACCGTGAATTCCTATGCTGGGCAGCTCACACCTCGCTTCGTGGCTTGTTTGTGTTGTGCTCCGAGTCCCTTCCATGGAGGCAGCTTCAGCTCCGTGTCGCTCCCCATTGTCTCGCTGCTGATCTCTCCTGGTGTTGCAAAGACTATTCTTGGTCGCTGTGTCCCTACGAGGGAAGGGCCCTGCTCCAGGTTTGGAGCTCAGGCTTTGCATTTCTAGAAGCTGTAAGCCAAACTTAATTCGTGTTGAGAGGCAGAACAAAAGAGAAGTCGGGGAAGCCTTGTTCATCTGAAATGCGTCTGTAGTATGGTGTAAGCTAGGGCTGTTTTGTGTTTGTAAGATAACCCACTGAGTGCTGGGGCTGTCATTTGTATTCAAATGGATTTAATTATTGGTAGTGAGACTTATGCTACAGCTGGAAGAGCTTTGGCAGTTGTAACTATGTGTGTGGACACATAGCTTTGATCTTGGTAGAATTCTTCCCCTTTATACTACAGGGCTGTGAATCTGCTTAAAACGCATTACATCTGAGATGCTGCTGACCTAAATTTGGAACCCGAGTGTAATGACAGAGCAGCCACCTCCAGTCATCACTGGCATCCTGGAGCCTGGATCAATACATTGCATTGCAGGTGGCCTTGCAAAGCCCTGGACTGCTGATGATGCTGCAGTGTCCTCACAAACATGCCAAGCCGTTCCAGCCTGGGCTCAGGGAATTTGCCCTTCTGGAGAACAAAACCCCTGAGCCAGGTGTTAGCAGTGAGTCTCTCCCAACTTTACAGCTATTCTCCCTTTTCCTTATTCCTTAGTGCTCCTTTCTTCTTCCTTTTCCTTACTCTCGTGCTGGAGCAGGGGGAAAATGCTGCTGCTTTCCCTTAGGCTGTGTTCCCTGGGGAAATCTCCTTGAATTTCTCCAGTGCAGGTAGCCTGAACAAATCCTGGGTGATTTTGCATAGTGAAGATGTCTGTATGTTTTTCTTCTTGTGTCACCTGATAGTTATCTGATAGGTGGCTCCACCCAAGCAGCAGTTTTTCCACAGTGGCAAGTGAAATTCTTCGTGAAGAGCTTGGGAGTGAAAAGCAGCATACAGCACAGTTGTGTTATTGCACTTCTTTGCATGTGTTGCTTTATTCTCATCTACAGCAGCACGTGGAACTTGAAAACAGAGCTCACTGGAGCCCGTAGTCACTGAGGCTTCAATTTTCTCCATTTGGCTGCTGGAGAAGCCCGAGAATGCTTCATGTGGAGACAGGGCTGCTCGGTTCCCTGTGCTTTCCCAGCACACAACTGATTTATAAATGCACATTTTCAGGGCTTCCAAGGGCTGTGGGGCTGCAGCTCAGCCTGCTCTCCTTGCTGCCAACTTGAGCCATTTCCACAGGATGTGACTGAGCATGTCTGGAAAAGGGTTCCCACTTTCTGTGTAAACAGAGCTGTGCATCCGAGGGAAGTTCTTTTCCCTGTGTATTTAGGCTTTATTGTACGACATTGATTCAGGCTTTGCCCTTACACGTTCAGAAGGTTGAGCACAGATAAACCAGAAGCCCTTTGCTTTGAATCAAGGTGTAGGTTGAGGCATAGCTGCTTGTGGGAGACATCAGAGCCAGCAGGTTTGGTCCAAGCCCTGGTAAAAGCCTTTGAGAAGAGGATCTGGTGATGTGCTGGGTGAGTGTTGCTCTGGATGCGAGCCCGTTTCAGGGTGTGTTCTTGACATGAGGACTGCGTGTTACTCAGATATCTCCTGCTTCCTGTCGTGCTTTGAAACTCAAGTCAAAATCCCTTTCAAACTTGCTTATGCCTTAGATAAAAGAAGAGCAGGGTGACATGGATGTGTCGAAAACTGCGGCTGGAAACTTGGGATTGTGCAAGATGTAAAAATGCGGTTCTTGCCTTCAGGAGCTTGCTATTTTGGGAGCTGCACATGTTCTCCTAGAGCCTCAATTAATTCGCTTTGGATTGTGCTGCAGAGTGTGTTCGCTTCCCCATTTCTATGGCAATTTTAAAAATATTTATCTTTGCTAGTTAAACACCTACTGAGATATCTGTGAATTAAACAACAAGCATTCACTTTTTCCCCTCTTGTCCACTGTTTGTGGCTCCAACAGGCTGTATCTCTTCCTATGTTTTAGAATTGTTTTGAAATGCTTGTCTGGCTTCTTCCAGTTCTGTGCTGTGCTGGGTTTAACCTACTTTGGGGTTCCTAGGGTTTAAAGTGAGTCCATAGAGTTTTTTTGTAGAAGCAGCTCAAACCTTCTCCTTCTGCTCGTGTTGGTTTCGTCTCATTCCAGTTTCTGCTGGTGTTACCAGATGTGAAGCGAGTGCAATATCATCACAGTTGTGCCAGAAACAAATGAGAAATCCAAAGAGCAGCAGCCACTTTTGTACCATATGGAGCTAAAATTACTGAATCCAGTTCCTCGTGTGTCCGTCGAGCTGCCACCTTTAATCTGTCACTTTGAATGCATACCCTTCCTGCATTTGTCTTTAGGCTGCCTGTTTTTTCCCTGTTGCAACGGGGGGAAAAAAGCCTTTGGGAGCAGCAGTGGCCCATTCTGCAAATGTGGGCTGGGGGAAGCCAGGCTGTTTGGGGTGTGAGGTAGGAGGTCTGCAGCAGGGGGGTCGGGGTGAGTTGCCATCACGAGTTCCTTGCATTTTGGGTTGCAAAGGTGCATGAGGCATCTATTTCTTGTCTTTTTTCTTAGAATTTCCAACGTGGTATTTCTAAGCCTTGGTGAACAGACTTGATTTGCTGAGTCTCACAGCAGTGCATGGCATGGCCAGGTAGCTCATCTCAGGAGCTGCAGGAGGTGAGCATTGCTCAGTGCTGTTGGATGTCCTCAGCCCCTGCGTGCTAGCAGTGATGACAGCACTGCATCAGCATGCTCCTGTGCAGTCAGCAGCAGGGCTGAAAGCTGCGGATATTGATTTTAAATTAAACCTTGGCCATTGAGCCTGCAGTAATATGTGGCTTTTTCCAGAGCATCCTTTTATTGGCCTGGAAGTCAGTACCACTGAGCTCATCTTCGCTCCAGTGATGTCTCAGGGCTGCTCGTTTCTTCATTTCTTAGTGAGCAGAGGAACGCTGTGCTTTGTGCAATTAGGCTGCAGGGCAGCTTTGCTCTGTGCAAACATTAAATCCTTCCATTTCTCTGACAGAGAGCACATGGGGGGCACCAGAGGTTGGCACGCGAGCACCTGCTCAATGGGTTGCCCTGCAGCAAACCTTGCCTTCACCAGCATTCCCATTGTCCTGCGCAGGTTTTTTTGGGTACTTGAGGCATAGAAGTGGGCTTCTAGATGTCTTGAAATACAGAAGTGATGCTTCTGTTGTGTTTTCAGGCTTATTTTTCATACATTCGAAACACAATTGGTTTTTAGGTGTGTTTTCCTAATGGCCCAGGTGTATGTTTGTCTGAAATCTGTGTATGAAATGTGTGTACAGGCTGAGCAATGTTCAAGGTTTGGTAGCTTTTAAGGGATGTCAGGAGGAGGAAGGCAGCACTGTGCTGTTTTTAAGGCTTTCTTCTTAATAATTAATTTAACAGCAGCTCTACAGGCACTGCCTGTGAGCTCCTGAACTGTCTTAAGAAAGCAGGGAGATGGCACTTACTCCCAATATCTGTTCATGGACATTATCAAGCAAGGTTTTTTTGCTGAGGAATCATTGCAGGCACTTCTGGATAAGTCTTGAGCATCGTGTGTTGGGTGGCTTTGTCTGTGCTGATGAATCCTCAGGCAGTGTGTGATATGGCACGTTTTCCTGTATGATCTTAGGATGCATTTTCAAGTCTCAGAGCCTGTTGTTTGCTTGCTTTGGGATCGTTCTTACTTTCTAGCTAGCCAATTTGCCTTCAGTTTGGAGTTCTTTTTATTACTGGAAAATCCTGAGGTGAGAATTAATGTAATTGATGGCTTGCAGGGAGCCAGCAGAGGGAGTACATGAGCGTAAAACAGCACTTCTTCACAAGTGCAAGTTTAGGATGATTTTGGTTAGAGAATTAAGAGCAAACCTGGACACAGGTAGTGCAGCTGATCACTGCAACCAAGCAGAACAGTTTTCTAAAGTGGCCCAATTTGGGTTGAGGTTACTGGGGTGCTCACGGAGTGCCTGGAGCCCAGCTGGGATCGGTATCAATGTTCTGGTTTTTGGCTGGGATGAAGGGATGCTGTGTTGCTGAGATGTCAGAGGTGGAGGTGTGCAAGCAGCAGCCTGCGTTTTGTATCAGAGGGTGGGATATAGAGGGCTGGATTGCCTTTTAACCAAGGGTTAACTGTGTTTAATGCCCAGCATGGTTAAATGTGGGGTTGGTTGGCCAACATGCATGAACTCCAGCAGCTGCTTCCGTGCTTTTCCAGCCATCTCTCCCTTCTCACAGCTTTCAGCAGGGTTTCTGCAGCTTGAACTAGTTCCAGGTTAATAAGACCAGCAAAAGAAAACCTTCAGTCACTTTTGCTATGAGTGCCTTTGGCTTTTTGAAGATGGGATACTTGAGTTCTCCACTTACTTAACGGCTTTCTGCAGTGAGGTTTGGCCCTGGTGCTTTTGCCTTTGGTCTGGTTCATGATTGATGAGCATTTTATTAAGCTTTTAAGCCAACTCTGATGCTTCTGGTTTCCTTCTGTTTATCCCATTAACAGATTCTAGTGACACTTTTGACTGCGTTCACTTGAAGCGTGCTGTAATTGAACAGCACTGTTTCCTCTCATTCACGTGCAAAGTGAGAAGTGTACACAACATGTTCTGTTTAGGTTAAAATCCAGAATGAACCTCAGGTTTTCTTCATCACTTTCAGGGCTTTAATTCTGTAGGAAGATGGCTTAGGCAGCATAATGTTGGATTTGCATGCAGGCTTGCAACAGCACTGGTTTGCCAGGCAGGGTGGTGGCGTCAAGAGGGAGAGATTGGCATTTTGCAACTTGCAGATGGAATTTAGGAAACCTCTCTCTTTAGAGCTGAAGTCTTATATGGAGGAAAAGACAATTTCCTGTTGAAAAGCATCTGAAGGGGAAAGGCAGAGCTTCAAAGAGCTGGGAACTGCCTGTTTAGTGGGGATGAAAAGCAAAGGTTGGTGCAGGTGTCTGCAAGGTCTCGCTCATTCATCCTTCCAGCACTGCCATGTTAGGTCAGATGCTCGTGGAGCCGTGCAGGCAGGATATTGCTCATTGTTCTGTTTCCCACAGCCTTTTTTGTTTTTGGCCTAAAATCTGTGTTCTATTTTTCCCCCACCGTGCTGAACTTGCCTGGCAATTGATTTTCAAGCAAGTCGGCTCTCACTGGTGCGAGTGTCTGAGGGCTGGAAGCAGTGTGTTATTTAATGCTCAGTGCTTGGTGCTAGCAGAACACAGTGATATCCCTACCCCAAATCACAGGCAATTAACACTGCTGGTACTGTTAATCAGTTGAAGCAGGGCTGGTGGCTGCTGTGGGGTGAGTGGTGTTGGCAGAAGGGAGGGAAGCTGCCATCTGAGCCCTTGGTGGCACGGCTGCTAGGAGCCCTCAGAGCCTTGTGTTGGACTGGCTAAGCAAATAAGCCCAAATGCTCTTCATGTCTCCTTAAACACAGCTCTGCTGTGCTGCTGGGGCTGGTGACAAGCAGAACAGGCACTTGCAAAATATGAGGAAGTGTCTGTAGCAGGTTGGGCCTTCCACCCCTAAATTAACCCTGTAGCTACTGATTGCCAAGCGCAATTAAATGTTCTGCTGAGTCCCTTTCTCCTTCCAACCAAAGCAGTCAGCCAGGGCTGGGCCATTTAACACACACCTTGATTTTTTTTTTCCCAAGTGAGAACGTAGCTTCTACAATTATGTTTGGATAACGAGTTCTTTGTGGCATGTGAAAATGAGCATTCCCTTCTGAGTAACGCACTGTGACTCAGTACTATTGCATGACTGCTTGTTTTCATTCAAGAGCTTGTTTTCATTCAGCAGCTTTCCCTTTGGAGGATTTTCTTTTCCTAAAATCTGTTGACTTTATAAAAAGAAGTTGTCAAAAGCTCTGCGGGTTCAGGCACTTCTGTGACAGCTGAGCAGAGGAGGAGGGATCTCAGGATGGGAACCACCAATGCAACCCACGCCTGTGAGTTGGGGTCTGTGGGACCAGGAGTGATGCCTGCAGGTAGGGAAACCTTGCTGTGTCAGGAGAGGTTTTGCATGAGCAGAGTTCTTGCTCCCTTCTGCAGCCACGTTTTGGGGGCTGTTTTCACTTGGCAGTTTTCTTCACATTTCTTCTCTCTCTGTTCCTCTGCAGTGGCTAATTATTTTAGCAGAATAAATAGCAGGTTCTTAAGTAGATTCAGGAGGGGAGGGAAGGGGTATTGAAGTGCACAGAGAGGAGGAAAAGAGTTATAAAATGTTTTGCCAGCTGGCAGGGTAGCAGCTCTTAGGATCAGTCAGACAAATGGGATCGGTGCTGGCGGAGCTTGGCTTCGATCGCCCTTTGAGTGTTTCTGTATGCATTATTTTAAGCAGTTGAGATCATTTGCTAAGGCTTTAGGCTGACTTTTAAATGCTCTGAGACATCTGTCCTCCTGCAGTGTAAGGGCTCTGCTCTGGGCTGGGGGGGCTGTAAGGTGCAAAGCATGGGGTGATGCTTTGGGGCGCTTCGTAACGATCAGTCAAAGCAGACCAGGGCTGTGGGATGATTCACTGACAAGTGAATCAAACTGCACATGCTTTTTGATGAGACACAGCTGTGCAAATCACTTTGCTGTTTTTTCAGTGCTGGTGTTGCTTAGATATTAATCTTAGTCTGTGTAGAAGCTGCTGTCCCAGCTCAGCACAAACAGAGAGCATCTGGAGAGCTGCTCTGCCTTTGGGACAGCTAGCACAGCTACTGCCATGGGATTTTCTCCTGTGGATGTGCTGATTCATTGTCAGTAGGAGCTGGTGGGGTGTTTGAGCTTTGTGGCCTTTTTGCTTTAAGGCACTGGGGCAAGGTTACAGCACAGGGCTTTTGCCATCACTGAGGAAGGTGAGTGTTGCAATCGGGGGTCATTCCCAGCTCCTCGGTCTCACGCCCTGTAAACAAGATCCGCATCCATGGCAGGTGAAGCTTGGTGCCCAAATATCCCTTCCCCTTGTCTGCTGGGAGCTGAATTCATTACTAATCTTGTTCTGATAAAAAATAGCACGCTGTGGTGTGAACTTGGAGGACGGTTATTTGTTATGCTCAGATGCTTAGGAAATGAGGATCTAGCTAATTGGATGCATTTGGGTATAATGATATCAAGTGGTCTGGTAAAGCTGTAATGAAGTCCTGAACGCTCTGCAGTCGTTTTCATTTCAGTTAAAGGAAGGCAGAGGAATTTCCTTGCTCTCCAGAGAACAGGCTGCCATCCCGATGCCCTGCCAGCTTCCTCTTCAGCCAGCTTCCTGTAATTTTGCAGCAAGAATGTTGGGATTGCATATGTGTATTTAATGAGCATTACAAAAAAGATGTCTGGGAGAGATGTGCCCAGCAGGAAGCTGTGCTGGGAAGCAGAGTTGGGCTGATTTTAATCGTGGTGTCATGCACTCTGCCTGTGGGTGCTGTTTGCTGTAATCTCCATCCTTTCAGACCGCTGGTATCGATGCTGGCACGTGTGGCATCCCAGGAAGGATAAAAACCATCTCTGCAGGTCCAGGTTTGTTTCCTTATCTTCTTTCTTAGGGAAGCCTTTCACAGCTAAGCAGCACCATCAGGCACAGGGCCTGTCCACCTCCTGCAAGCGTGGGAGACCAGGCAAGGCTGCCTGGAACTTCTGCACCTGCAGGGATGCACAGATGCCTGCAGATCACAGAGAACACCAGCAGGCTTCCTGCAGCTCCTGCCTTGGCAAAGCAGGTGCTCTCCTACAATCTGAGCTGCTTGCACACAGCTTGTCTTCCTCCAGATCTTGCAGTAAGATCTGTGCCTGTGATTATTCTGTGTGCTGGAGCTCCAGAGGATTGAAATCAGGATTTGATAATTGGGTTATTTATAGTTGAAGGGAAAAAAAACCCAACTTTTCTAGGAGGGCATCCATTCTTGCACTTCTCAGCTGACATCCTCCAGTAGGTTTTGCACGTTATTTAAATAGTAAATAAAAGCTGCTGGGAAATGCACACCACCATCATCTTTGCTTCTGAACCTTTACAACAACGGATTTCTTGTGTGAACCTGTTGAGCCAAGATTTATGTTCAGTTTTATCACCCCCAGGTGTCCCGTTGTACCTGGTCTGGTTGTGTTCCTGTTTGCTTTTCCAGCACATAACACTTCTAGGGTGTCAGGTGCTTTCTGTTCCCCATCTGCTGCTCTGGTTTCCTAGCTGTAAGGCTTTTGCTTCCCCCAGTTTGGGCATGACTCAGGGCTGTGAAGCTGGAAGCCTTTGCTTGCCTGCAGCACTGCATAAAGCTGGAAATGATTACCTGTGCTTGCTGACTATTGATGCTCTAGTTTGGAAAGGACCCAACTCACTATATTTTTTGTTAGTTTTGTTAATTTGTTTTTAATGCAACTCTCTTTGTTTTCCTTAATCTTTGGGAATTTGTAAATTATCTGCTGCATAATGCAGTTTACTGATGGGAGCAGCACTTTTGTCTAAGTGTTTCGGTTTCAGGCTCTCTTTGTCATAGCATTCACCCTAAGAAGGATTTCTGACACTGGAAAACTTGCAGAGCATCTGCTAGCACAGTAACTGGAAGTTTAATTTGAACTTGGTTTCTGCTGAAGGTTGACAGCCCCAGGATTTTCTGAAGCTGCTGCTTCAGGGAAGCTGCCAAAAGTGGAGTGATGCTGCCTACTGCCATTCTTCTGGTGGTGAATTAGTTGTCAGAGTGAGTTGGAAGGCAAAACCAGCACCTCTTCCTGAAATGTGGGGTTATTTCTTAGAAAATAGGGTCTGGGGCTTTGCTTTGCAGCAGCTGCCATGGGTTTGGTGGTCACAGCCTATAAACCATCCAGGGAGTCAAACTGCATGCAGCTGCTCCTTAAGATGGATTTCCTTCACTTCACAGTTCTGTCATTGTTACCCAGTAATGTTACATGTCCTTTATAGCTGGAGATTCAATATTTCAGCCTGTCATCAGCAGTCAGTCCTGCTCATTGGCCAGACATGATTGGATTGCAGTGGTTGTGTTGGACTAGATGATGTTAGTGGTCTTTTCCAATCTTAGCCACTCTGAGGTGTGTTTGCTGCCCCAGCAGAGGTGAGTCTCCTTGCTTTGGTGATGGTGGTGGTTGAGCATTTGTTTGGAGCCTTTTGTCCACATGCAGAGGAAGCTTGGTGGTGAGCTCATTCTGAAGAGGTGTGCAGCCTGCTTCAGAGCCCTGCAAAAACCACGTCCTTGCTTTGGAGCTTTCTGATACAGTGCTTTGTGTAGAGCGACGTGCAGGGTTTGCACGTAGCGCACAGTTTATATTTCTGACGCTGTTGGGTTTCTTTTGGTGACCTCAGTGTTGTCTTTTTTCCCCACTTGAAGCTGTGAAGTGGAATGCCATGGCCAGCTCCTCAGACAGTGAAGATGACAGTTTCATGGCCGTGGATCCAGAAGAAGCTGTGGTCGAGGGGACAATGGAGCAAGATGAGGAGCCGCGTGCTGAGCTGGAGGTGGAGGAGCCCAGGCATAACAGATCCATGTTGGAGCTCCCCGAGGAAGTTTTGGAGTATATCCTGTCCTTCCTTTCCCCCTATCAGGAGCACAAAACTGCTGCCCTTGTCTGCAAACAGTGGTATCGACTAATCAAAGGTACAAACAGCTGTAGTGAGAATGCATTTCTTGTGATGGTTGGAACATGGATTTGTGTTCCAGCTGCTCTGTCTTTCGCTTTAGACTCACCTGTTGTTTTCCACTTGAACTCAGAAACTTTATTTCAGCAAAGTGTCTCAAAACAGCTGACACTGTTGATTCCCTCACTGAAGCATTGCTGGTAGCTCTGGTGCTGTAGAACAGAGCTGGGTATTCTCTTTTGAAGTAGGAAAAAGCAAAACCCTAAACCCCCTACAACAAAGTTGCTCACTGATTGCTGCTTTTGAGCACTACCTGTATGCTGCTAACGTTGACCCTGCATTCAGCCTTCTTCCCTGGCACGTGCACAGCAGACTTCCATTCCCAGCATCCCATGTCTCATGTGGCTGCAGTTGTGCACTGTCTGCAGCTTGCTCAGTAATTACATTCCCAAAGGTTATGCTTTTGGTTGGAAACCAAACAGTGTCTGATTCTTACAGCTCTGCTGAAGATAAGTGGCAAAGTATAAACTGCATCTACATTAATACAGATCTACATATTCAGATTTTCTGAAAGGGTATCTGTGAGACACAAATGCTTCACTGTGCTTCTGTGCAGCATTAATTCTGAAGCCTTATGGGGATATTTTAATGCTATACAGATGTGATACAACAAATAGTTTTACTTGGATCCTTGTGCAAACTCTGCTTGTTAGCTCCCAGTGTTCTGAACGCACTGGGTGATTTCTGCTACCTTAGACTGTTGGCCATGCAAGTTTTGAGAGTAAGCTTCATAAAAACAGGCAGTTTGAGGGAAAAACCATGGCTAGATCTGTGGGAAATTAATCAGGTTGCTGCATTAGGGCACCTTGTTTCTTCTGGAACATGCAGAACAGGTGTCAAGTGAGAAATGTCTGCATTCTGCCCCTGGCTCTGCATACAGTTGGCAGGTGTATGGGGCGATGTCTCAATTGTGGCCTTGTTGCACATGTGAGGTGTTGCTCAGATTCCAGGGATTCTCTGCTTTGCCCAGTGTTCAACAGGCTTGAACAAAAGCACAGCTACTTCCCAAGTAAGCATTGCACCATTTCTTTGGCATCATTTTGGGTCAGTGAATGCGCAGTGCTCTGTGACTGCTGGCTCAGCAATCTGCATCCTTTTGCTGAAAAGTTTTCAAGTACCCGTGGCCTTGTGTGGCTGCTTTCTCACACATCCTTGTTCCTGAAGCAGCCTTCAGAGGTGCGAAGGATGCAGCTGAAGTGAGCCAGCACCCGGTGAGTCACCCCGAAAGAGGCTGTGGGAAACATCCCTGAAGTGCAGGGAGAGGGAAGAGCAGCCTGTGGCATTGCAGAATCATCCATCTGGAGCCTGTTGGGTGGTGCTGGGCAGCTGCAGTGTTTTTTACAGTGCATATTGCTAACCTGTGCCCTGCGAAGCAGAGAGGTCACTTGAGGTAAATGCCCAATCTGTTTTCTTCTGGTTAATTTTTCCTGTTTGTCAGGATGCATCTGCTTTGAACCCTATGGTTCAAGTTAGGTTTCCCACATGTCTCTTGGGGACCAGCTGCTGCAGGACCCACGGCTTCATTTTTCAAAACTTCCTGCTGTGTATCCCGGAGTGTGATTGCTCACTGGGGGTGTTCCTGGCACAGGGCATGCAGTGAGCAAACTCCTGGGAAAAATCTCAGCAGGTTCCGGTGCCTCAAAGTGCATTTGTTGCCTGTGCCCAGCCACCAGCAAGGACTGGTGCAGCCCTGTGACACCAGGGCACAGCAAGGCTCAGACCAGCTCAGATCCACGTGCGGTCAGTGAAAGCCTTTGCTAGCACCCAGGCACTGCAGCTAAAAGCAGAATCTGCTCTGTGTGCTTTCTCAAAACCAGTACTTTGCTGCACGTGCATGAAAGGCTGCACTTTCTCCCCGTGTTCCTGCTCAGAGCACTTTGAGGCAGCAGGGATGTGGCTGAGTGGTGAGCAGATGCTGTGGCCACAGAGCATCTGTTGAGCTGCTGCAGTCAATCAGCAGCAGGCCACTTTCTTCCCACAGCAACCAGCCTCTGACTTCTCAGTACAAGCACAGTCATATGCACTCTGTGTGCTGAATGAATTGTGGCTAGAGTGCTGGCCTGCTCTGCATAGGAGCTGGAGCCATCTCCAGTGGCCAGATCCATGCCTTGGAAAGCAGAAGGAAAACTTTCAACAAAGACTTGCTGCCTTTTATCTCTGATATCTCCTCTTTTATTTAATTTTGGATTCTTGTCTGGTAGCTGCATGCATTCTCTTCACAGTTCATTATTGCATGTTCTTTGTGTCCTCAGAGGTCCATTAAGGGAAGGGCAGATGCTCTCTGGGCAGAAAGGTGTGCTTGCTTGCAGCAGCAGTTTGGGTGTGATTGGGGACAGCAACTTTGCATTGCAGCTGAGTGAGACAAAAGGACCTGGAAGATGTATCAGAAAGGTAATAGGTTTTAAAGTAGTGGGAAGCTAGTTCAGTGCTGTGATTCTTGTAGGCAGTTAAACATTGAGAGAAATGTGAGGTGTCACATAGCAGAAATGTAGCAGATAAGTTCAGTGATTGCTGATTTCTGCAACTGTTTATCCTCTTAAATCCTCTGAATTTCTACCAGCATAGTTAAAATCTAAATGCAGGATTGTTTAATAATTGCTATCATGCTGCTACTCACTACACATCAACGTGATAATTCATTTATTTTGGCTCCTCCAAGCTCAGTGCTTCTTACAAAGGCTGTCATGCACTTCTTATTAGAGCTGTATGTGCTGGATCTGGATGTGCTTGTGCAACCGTGCAGACACATTTTGTTCCTAACATGCCCCAAATTCTGCTGACATCTTGTCTTTCTCTAGGTGTGGCCCATCAGTGTTATCATGGCTTTATCAAAGCAGTGCAAGAAGGAAACATTCAGTGGGAGAGCCGTACTTACCCTTACCCAGGAACCCCCATCACGCAACGCTTCTCACACAGTAAGTAACTGCCCAGCAAAGCTCCTGATCGACCACAGAAAGCTGTCGTGAGGCATTTTGTCACCTGCTGCACGTGGTGCTGTGTGCTGGCACTTCATTTCTTAGCTTCTGAGCAGTTAGCTTGGAGGAGGCTGAGCGTGGTGTGCCTGAAAACAAAGCACAAAGGGCTGCACCTGAGACGCATTGAAGCAAACTCCTTTCCTGTGGGTGTGATTTGCTGATAGAAGTCAGCAATTTGGTTGACAGCAGTGCTTAAATTATGTCTGCATTTTTGCCTTGCTTCCAAGTTTACAAGTTTATGGAACAGAGGAAGGGTTCCCATTGAGGGAAAGATATTTAAATAAAACTTGTTGTTTGTACTGCAGTAACACTGAACTGTGCCAGGCGCTGGATTAAAATATGACAAAAATTCAGTCCTTGTGGTTTTGTCACTGGGTCAGAGCTCTGTGAGAGCTCAGCTCTTCCGGGGAGCAAACTTCACATTTCAGGAGGTAAATAAACACGATTTAAGTGGTGTGATTCTAAGAGCAAGTAGTTGTAAAATTTTCATATTCCTGGGGAATAATTTACGAAGCAGCTGACACACAGAATATGCAGCTTCTTGCTAGGACAAGTCTGGGAGGCATTCTGCTGATGGCGCTGTGCTTTTCAAGGATTTCATTGTCCTCCCTCCAAAAAACCTGGAAAATGGAACCAGAGTTTACTGCTCCTTTTTAGCAGCTAATGATGTGCTTAGTGCTGATTGCAGGTTTGCATGTATTATCCATCAACTTGCTGGGGGGTATTTCATCTGCACTGGTTCCTCTGAGCGTGCTGCTCTTGCACTGGCTCTGGAATCATAGGATTCATAGAATGGCTTTGGTTGGAAGGGACCTCAGAGATCACCTGTTTCCCAGCCCCCTCCTGCAGGCAGGGTTGCTAACCACTAAATCAGGCACTACATCAGTCCAGGGCCCCTTCCAGCCCAGTCTTAAACACCTCCAGGGATGGGGCATCAAAGCTGCTGCTTTTAGAGCCTGTGGTCTGTATTAGCCTCAGTGTTTGCCAGCATCCTGGCTCTGGTCAACGCTTGGTTAGTAACAAAGCATTATTAATGTACTTTATGCATGGAAAGCCAATCTGGATTAACTTGTTTGCTGATTTAAACTGCTTTTTTGTTTTTTGTTTAAATTTTAAATTTGAACAGTTCTCCAGATCTGTGAAATCTGTTTCCCCTGCGGCAAAGCTGCATGAGTTTGTGGGTGGATTCCAATAGCAGGGCTTGGAGGGAGGTTTGATCAAAGCTGGGCTGGGCTCAGATTCCTTTTGGAGAGCAGCAACAAATCATTAATCACAATGCAAAGAATCTTGGAAAAACTATGATCTCAAACACTGCTGTGCTGCGAGCGGAGGCGAAGTGGGAAGGGGAGGTCTGGGATGGGGTGCAGAGGAGGACTCACAAGCCATTTCTTAGGGATGACCTGCCAGGTTTCATGGGAAAACGTCATCTGCCAGGCATGAGTCCTTTGAAGTCAACAGGCAACGGTTACTGGCATCAAAGGTTTGGCTAGGCCTGCTGCTTTTCCCAAGATTTATTAGAGATATCTCAGAAGTGCTAATAAGGAGCCAATATTTAACGTGACAAGTAAGGAAATTTTAAACAGAGGTCATTGTCTCTGATAAATTCCGAAGAACTGAATAGAAAAAAAACTGTTTGATAAGGAATAATTAATGTAAGTCGTTGGAATTTTACAGAGAGGAAGCGTTTGTCAGGTCTTTGATCATATGACAAGTTTGGCTGATAACAGACTTTATGGATGGGCTGTAGGTTGGCTGAAGGATTTAACTGAAGCTGCACAACACTGCAATTCTCAGTAATGCTATTCCTTGAGATTTAAGCACGCAGGCTTGCTGAAAGAAGTACTCATAGGTTTCTGAGGTGAACAGCAGGTAATTTTGTGAAAGTGTAAACTTGGAAATACTTGTCTAATTGTCTTCTTTAGCTGGAATGCGTAAACCTATGGAGATCATAGCAGCAGGGTGACTCATGCAGTTAAATCACTGGCCACAGTCAGAAAGTGATGTCAAAAGGTGGAAGAATGCAGGAAAGGAAAGGCCTGAATGGAATGTCGACCGTTGAGCCAGAAATATTCTTCCTTTGATGGAAGAGGTGGTTCTGCAGTGACTATGTTTAAGTACTGATTTTTCCATGCAGACTGGGGAGCTTTGTACCAGTGTAGTGACTAATTAAACAAATTCACCCTGAGATGACAGAGGTGAAAGCTGGAAAACTGTTGGTGTTACAGGAGGGGCAGCTCCTTTCTCAAGAGCAAGGGGACCCAGCAGCAATGGCTTTCTTTGTCTCTAAGCTTTGCTGAATATATTACTGCCTTCTGACTCTCCCTAAGCTGAAAGCAGCAGGAAAATAATGAAATTGTAAGTCTGGGGTTGTTACAGGAGACAGGTAGCTTTCACATTTCATCCCTTGGCTGAACCCCTCCTTCAGCAACTGCGTTTGTGGCGCTGCATTTCCTGTCCTTAGCTGAAGTGCACTTCCAGACATGTCTGAGCCCTTTCAAACTGGGGAAGTGATCTCAGGAGGTGACAGAGCTGTGTACAGGGACAGTTTTAAAGCCATTACCTAGGAACATGACAATGGTCAGCAGTAAGGCTGCAGTGCTATTGTCAACTGGAGCCACGTATCAATGGGAGTTCAGCAGCCTGCTGACATTTCCCCTCTCTCTGATGGGGAATCTGACCTCTGAATTTGACTCCTGTACATGTAGATTACCTTTTTTTTCTTTATGTACTTGATGGTGAAAAAGTCAGTGCCCTCTGATTATCATAACGGGCATCTGTGTTGCATTTCAGTTTCCTTTCCCACTTGCAGCCTGCTGGTCTTTATGTTGCTTCTCTCACACTTAAGGTGCAAATCTCAGATGCTTTGTTTGTGGCTGTTGTGCAGCACAGAGGGAAAACAGGGAAAACCTCTTCCTCCCTGGATCTGTTCTACCCTCAGAAAGACTGGTATCAAGCTGGTGTTTTCACCTGTGCTTTTTTTCAAGCTACCTGCCTTCCTTGGCATCAGAAACTTTGAATGGTGCGCTGAGAAGAAGAAGGGAAGCACAGCCTAAATTATTTCGATCTAGGATTAAAATACATGCCGTGTGGATGTCACGGTGCCTGGCTGGCTTGGTTGCTCTTTTGAATCCAAATAGAGGAGAAGAATGCTGCCACCTCCCCTGAAAATAATAAATGTGCTGTGTGAAACCAGGAATGCCAAGGGCTTGGTGTGCGGAGGAGGAGGGAGGCACTCAACCTGTCATGATTAGGCAGCAAGTAGGCCTCCAAGGGTGCCACAAAGCTTTCAAGGAACGTTGGTCCTGTTCGTTACTTCTTCCCTGCTATTCCTATCCTGCTCCCAGTAGAGGTGCTGGGAGCCACGCAATCTCCTGTTTTTTACCAAGGCAGTTTATATCCCAGCCCAGGTAAATGTTGAAGCCCGCACAGTCGCTCTGCTGCTGTTTTACCCCCACCCAAAAAGCAGCTCCTCGGGTACTTTGCATGGTGTGTAGGTGTGCTGCACACCTTGGCGAGATGTGGTTTGAGATGAAGGCTTCAGCTGCAGGCGAGTGCCCCGAGGTGCACACAGAGAGCTGGGTGGTCTCACACCACCAGGGCCACCTCAGGACGCTGCCCTCATGCATCCCCATCCCACTCTTCCCCCAGTCCTGCTGTGTGACCAGCTGCTGCAGCAGCAAAAAGCCAAGGGCGTGAGGGCTGCTGGCTTTTCGGCAGGCTCTCAATAGGGGAAGCAGGTGATCTGCATGACAAGCCCTTGGTCACACAATAGGGCCCCCGGCAAAGGCGCTGCTCCTGCGCTGCCCTCCGCGAAGCTGCAGCACTGTGCTGGGTTACCGTGTGATTCGTTTGCTGGGATGGTGAGATGAATGTCTGTGTACGGCCGGGTGGGCTGCGTTAAAGGGCTGTTCCTCTCTGGCAGGGCTGTCCCAAAAGGCTGCTGTGCTGGGTTGTTGGAAGCCAGGGATGCTCTTCTGGTCTGGAACAAAGCTTTTTCTATTGTACCAAACTGGTGCATCAGCACGTTTAGTCCTTTCAATCCACATCTTCCTCACTCTGTGGTGTGGGGTTTTTTCCTGTCTTGTGTTGGTACACATTCCTCAGGAACAGTCCTGTGTCCTGCCAGGCCAATTAAACCTTTTTATTTTGGAACTTGTGAACAGCTGCCTACAGTGAGTGATGTGGAGAAAGAGAAGGAACTGTGCAGCTTTCACCCCTACATGTATGTACCTTGGCTTATATTTCAGCACACAATACTGGCTGCTTGTCACAACTGCCGTGCTGATCTTACAAATACACACTGAACTTGAATTTCTTTCTTGCTTCTTGGGCTTTTTTATTGAAGTTGCCCTGCCCTCCTGCTGCCCTTGACCTTGCAGCTTGCCTTGTGCTGGTTATTTACGGTGCTGCTTGGTCCCAAGTGCCCTGGAGGGGCTTCTGCATGCCCTAGCCCCAGGGCCACATGCTACTCTGTGCCTGAACTTTGACTTGTTCTTTTGCCTTTCTGCTGCATATTTTTCAATATATCACTTGTCACTGTGAGGGTGATGTCTTCTTCCCCCATCCAAGCCTCAGCTCATGCCCCTTGGCTTTCTCAAAGCATAAAACACTGCTGCTTTCTCCTACGTGCTGGTGGATGTATGGATGGATGTGAGTTACTGTGATTGCTTCCTACCAAACTTGATAGCAAATGAAGGAATCTCTGTGCAGGCACAGCTCGTGTTATACGTTATGTTAGATATTGAGCACTTTGCTGAAGGCTCCTATAGAGGCTCTCATAGCTGTGCAGGGCTCAGATGTTGTATGCAATCAGCAGGGCTAGTTGTGTGAGAGGGGAAATGCAGAAACAGCAACGCTGCTCATGTTGTCTTTGATGTTAATCTCAGTGCTTCAGTTTTTTGAACACAGTCCTGTCTGCTCTGTGGATGTTTGATTTACAGAGGTGCCTGGGTACCACAGACACCAAGGTGGCCAAATGCTGTTGTTTGAATTCTTTTACTGCTGAGTTTGGTTATGGGCCAAAAGTTGGCTTTTTCCTAAATGTCTGTGAGGGGCTCAAGCACTCTGTTCCCTCTCCATTCCACTTCCTGCTGCCTAATCCTTCTCCCTGACAAGCAAAGGGAATGTTCCTGTAAGATGCCTGTGTTTCAGTGGTGCCTAATTGTAATGAGATAAGGTGAAATGCTGTCAGCTTTGGAAAAAGAGAGCAAGTGACCGTGTTTAAGCACACAGGACCGTTGCCTAGTAAATCTTGGCAGCCCCGTAAGCAATATGAAATAGCTTAGAGAAGGTAAGCATGCTGAATGTGTTAATCGTAGCTAATCTAATTAACTGCAAGCTTCTAAGGCAGCTTTCTTTGCATTTTCAGGAGCAGCTCTGAAGGAGAGGATAATCGTCTTAGGTTCTTGCTGGAGCTGGGTTGGGTTACTCCTGACCCAACTCACCAAGGTTGCTGCAGCTTGTTGGCTTTTCCCTCACCTGAAACTCAGGGGGGAAAGAAAACAAGTTTTTGTGCACCCAAAACGTGAGGATGAGAGAATGAACTAATCCATGGTTTCCTTCCTCCTAGGTGCATGTTACTACGATGCCAACCAGTCGATGTACGTGTTTGGAGGCTGCACGCAAAGCAGCTGTAATGCTGCCTTCAATGACCTCTGGAGACTTGATCTGAACAGCAAGGAGTGGATCCGGCCCCTGGCATCAGGTGAGAGCCTGCAGGGCCGTGCAGCCCTCCCTAACCCTCCTCCAGCTGCCCCGCTGCCAGAGCCTTCATCACCACTCACCTTGCCTCCAGGCTGAGTGGTCCCAGTGAGTTTTATCAATGAATGGTTTTCAGATGACATCCTGAACACACATCTGTTGCCTGCAGCAGGGTGCTGTGAGGCAGATTGAGTTGTTTTTGGTTTTCATCTTCATCTGCAGAAGCTATTCAGCACCAGTTCGTGACGTGCATGATGAGGGACATTTGACTGCAGTCACGAGAGCTCATGCTGATAAGAGTTGTTGTCCCAAAGTTGAGATTTTTGAGTATCTCTGCTAGTTGCTGCTTAGGTATTTGGAAGAGTGGATGAGACGTGCCCATGCTGGCAGCCCAGAGCAACCAGGAAAACATGGGAAAGCAGGTACATTCCTGCAGCCCTCGTGCCCAGAGCAGGAAAATGCCACCAGTTGTTTCCCACACTGATTTTAAACTCAAAACATCATGCACGAGGTGCTCGCTTTTCATGGGTTTTTGAATTTGGCTAACATAATTTTTGAAAAAAGCAGAATTTTGAGCAGCTCTTGGTGATGTGGAGCAAGAAGTGAACATAAAGCTAGTCGCTTGGGTAAAAGCTTTACATTTAATGAGGGAGAAACGAAAGGAAAAGGACCTCAGCTTTCACCATGCCTTCCTTGCTGAGTCTGCTTGGATGCAGACTCCTGTCCCTGCTTCATGTGCTGGGTAAGTACTGAGGATTACTTGATCATTGTTTAAAGCTGTTTTCCTGACTACTATTTTTTTTTTTTAATGTGAAATCCTACAAGATCAAGATGTTTCTGTGTTCAAATGTTACCTGGGAACTATCCAGATGCTACTTTGTTAATGCAACTTGGTGCTAGATGACCACTTTTGGGAAACAATTCTGCCCACGCTTTGACATTTCAATGTGATTTTTGAATCTGCACATCCAGCACATGATGTGGGCAGGTGAGAGCTAGGCAGGCATGGGCTTAAAATGGAGGAAGAAAATAACCCCCAGTGCTCTCGCTCTTCCTCCTACTGTGCTGTGGTGCTCGCCTGCTCCTTTCCCCCTGCTCAGCTGGAGAAGAGGCCATGGGTAGCATAAACAGGATGCTGGGTTGTGCAGACCTCTGCTCTGACCCAGGCCAGCTATTCTTGCAGCCCAGCAAGTTCTTCCGTCAGACGGAATGTGGGGCACAGCTCGCCTTGAGCACTCACACCGTGTTAATGAATCCAACCGCCAGCACCCAGCTCTGCATCCCAGACACCCTGCTGGTATTGCACAGAGTGAAATTCCCGCTGCCTTACTAACAAATAGCGCTGTGAAAAAGAACGAGTCCTGTGGGAATATGTGTCAGAATTAAGTCCCATGGGAAGATCCCCCGAGGAAATATTTCTGCATGCTGTCATGAGTGCACAGGGCGAGATCAGATCGCAACTGAAACTTCAGGGCAGTCTCAGTGAACAGAGAGAGCTCTTGTTTGTCAGTCTTCAGAGAAGATGAGTCACCCGTGCCTGTGCTGGTGGTGGTTTCTTGCACATAGCTGCTTTTTGGTGCCCTAACCAAAGCGTTGGCACCCGCTGCCTGGGAAAGAATAGTGACTGGAGGGGGCAAAAGCAGAGAGCTTTGAAACTTAAGAGTCAGATGTAAATAACACGAGAGGGATTTTAAAAGGAGAGCTGACATTGATGAATGAATGCTTGCTCTGGCACAGGGTGTGTGCAAGCTAATTGCTGGTGGAGGTTGAGGAGGAATTCCCACCCCGTTTCTGCAGGTCACTGGCTCTGCACACTCTGTAGTGGTTGTTCTCCAGGAGATGATGGTGGCTTCTCCTCCAGGCCCGTTCTGGCTCGGAGAGGTTTGATCGTGTGTAATTACATATGCCCTTATAAATCATGGGCATCTTATCTAATGTGAGCCATGGGGTAGCCTAGAGGCAGCCAGAGCGTGGTGCCAGGTCTGTGCTAAATGTCTTGAAGCCAGCAGTCCAGTGCTGTGCCACGTGTGAGCAGGAACAGCCTCATCCCTGCCCCCTTCCAAAGGGCTTTTCCATGAGAAAGCTCCCTTTTTCGTTGTTTGTGCCTGTTGTTTTTGTTTGGGTTCTCTTATGGGCAGACATTAAATGAGATGACATCAGAGCTAAGTAATTTACCTCCAATCTGAGCTGCTACACTGAATCTGGGAGTAAATATTTAGCCTTCAAAGCAATAATTAGCTCATGCTTCTTTAGTCTTGGAGACGGGGGAGGGAGATAATTGCTTCAAAAAAAACCTAATTTTTGAGGTTTCAAAGTACTTTTTGCTTACATCTATAAGGATGGCATTGACTTTCTGCTTATTAGACTGGAACGGAGCGAGAGAGTCAATGCCTACCTTTCATGTAGCTCTTTTTGCTGGTGGGGTGTAATGCCTTACAAAGGCGAGTAGGCAGCAGGCTCTTTATTTTAGAAACGTGAACAGGAATGCCTCTGAACTCTCAGCTGCCATTTCCTATTAGGCTCGGTAGGCCTAGAAGGCAGGTGCTGTCCTTGGTGAGCACTTTTCCCTGGTGTTGGGGATCCTTTTGTTGCCTTTATTTGCATAGTTAATCAGAATCTTCTTTGATTTTTGGCCATTCTGTGCAGAGAGAAACCTGATCAAGGGCTGGAGGTGGTATAAGCTGGAGTTTGTTTATCCAGCTGGAGGCAAGGGTTTGTCTCAGCTCTGCCACTCAAGCTACAGCATGCTGCTCTTGCAATGAGGGCACAGGCTTTGGTGCTGATAGATCTTTGGTGCTCCCTAAATATGAGTTCTCATGTGGCTGAAACAGTCATGGAAGAAACTTGAAGCCAGTCAGCGCTGAGACTCACAGCCTTTGGTGTGATGGAGCTGCACGTAGCCACGTGATGAGAGCTTTTTTTGTGGTGATGCTGAAGCGTGGAATTGGCCAACCCAGCACCATGCTGCCCTGGTAGCAGGGGAAAGTTGTTCTTTTCCTTTGCAGGTTTGTAAAACACTCTTTGCTCGAGACCCCCAGTTCAGTCTTGAGACCCAGTACAGTCTCTGTACTGTGGCAGGTCCATGGGGAGGCTGCCTCAGCCATCAGCACTGACCCAGACCCATCAATGTTCCCCCTTGGTGTTTCACATCCACATCATCCTCAAACTGCAGCAGATAATTTATTGGCAAAATTGAGGGCACGTCTCCAGGCAGTTTCCCTCTGGCTGCCTGTGCTATTTCAGACTCCTGAAGCAACTGTGTATTTCTGCAGACTTTCTCCCTTCCTGCATTTGTTGGTTTATGTTCCTCACGAGTCCTGCTCTTGGCCTCTGCCTGTTGGAGCCATGTGCTGAGCTGGGAAATCCCTTTTTTAAATCAGAGAGAAGAATGCTGGTGGCTTTGCCTGTGCTCCTGAGGGCTTATCGATCAGAGGTGGAAAGCCTTTTTTAAAACAGCCTTTTACAGCACTCATAAAGCAAGGAATGACAACATAAAAAAAGCTCTTTGCAGGGAGAGGTATGCTAGCCAAAATCTTGAAGTCTGTGCATCCTGCCTGCTGGGTCTGCTTTACCAGCCTGGGCCAAGCACCATCCCTTACTTTGCTTTGCATTCTCCTTCCAGCTGCAGGAGAAAGCAAGAAGGACTCAGAAAATCACACACCCAGCCTTCAGCTGTGTTCCCCCAGCACCCTGCTCTCAGAGCAGCCTGGCAGCCCTGCTGCTCAGCTCTTCCTGTTTGCTGTGAGCAATCTGGTGTGCAGGCATCCCCATAGCCACCCTTCCTGCAGCAGGGCACAGCTCCCAGCACTTGCTTCCTGCTGCTTTCTACTCTGTGCAGTGAGATTGCCTTCATTTTTGCTGGGGAGACATGTCTCCCCTGAGAGGCTTGAAGGCAGTGCTATTTGTGTAGATGCTTTGATCCTCTCTGTACATTTTCAGCCCTTGCCAAGATGCAGCTCCATGAGAGCAACTGGTCCTGTGCCTTACTGCTGCCACCTGGAATGAGCAGCCAGCTTTAGCACAAAAGACTGTACTGAAAGCATTGAGTGTGATGCAGTAAGTGTGCAGCAGTCACTCTCACATCTGTTGCTCCAGCCCTGTTCTTTCCCCAGGTTTCACTCCGCTCCATACTTCACCAGTGCTGGTTTCTGGCTTGAGTTTTGAGTCGGAGTTTTGGGACTGGGTTTCCCCTTGTAAGCTGGGGGGAAGGTGCCTTTGATGGTGTTTTGTCAACAGAAGGAGCAGGCAAAAGGAGGTAGGGGGAACTGCTGTCACCTGTCCAAGGAAGCTGCACCAGATGTGGTCCCACTGTGGTGGGAGGCTCTCTTGGCTGCAGCACCAGATCTCTGCCCATTAGGTGAGCGTGTTGCCCTTGACAAAGCTGTCCAAAAACTTTGCCCCAAGCAGGAAGCTCTGTTTTCATCATCTCTTTCTGAAAAACAGCAGTGAGTTTACAAAACAGTTGATGAAGTTTCATAACAGTAGGACTGATTTGGGGCACCTGAGTGCTCCTTGCAAAGCTGAGTGGAGACAGGGTGTAGCGATGGCCAGGGCCCTTTGGGTACAGGTTACATGGAGGTTGTGCAGCTGAGAGCCAGCAGGAATGAAGAGAGAACTCTCTGAATCTGTCCATCAGTGTAAATAGCACACAGGGCTACAGAATGGCAAAGGAATTGGTGGCATTTCTGAAGTCGAAGCAATTGTTTGAACAGTAGAAATGCCCTTTGGATTTGTTCAAAACCCATTAGTTCTGATGCCCTCCTGAATAGTACAGATTTCCAGTTGCTGTCCTTGGTTGTGTGTTGCTTCTCCTTTCTAATAGCAGTCCCTGCTGAGACTCATTACTGAAATGCTCCAGTCTGACCCCGTGCTGTGATGCTTCTGTTCCTGATGCAGGATGACTTGCCTTGGATTCATACAGTGAATGATCTGAGGCACGTTCTTGCTTTGGCCAAAAAAAAAAAAAATCAAGCAACATCCTGACCTGACCACTGCAGTGCCTCA